CATCCCTCTATTCCCTTCTCCTTCCATGGCCATAATTCAAATGCTATAAATGTTACGAGAAGTAAATATGCCAGGAAATTGTTTCAGCAATTTCAATTAAAGTTGCAGTCAAGAAGTCTTTATGTCAGGAAGAAAAAGGGCAAAAACGACAAAGAACATAAAATATTAATGGAATTAAATATTAGGCATAAACAATCTAGGATGTTAGCAAAAGCCAAGATTAAAATAATAGGCACAACTAATGATGACAGAGACACATTTTCTTGCTACATGGCAGTTAATGATCTAAAGAAGATTAAAAGACATAAGATGCACATAGAAAAATTTTCCCCTAGTGCAGGAAATGCCATGCAGCCACAGTGCACACGTACTTCAACTCCTTTAGATACCATATTGAACAGGATCTGCCTCAAATATGCTTGGATATATATATATATATATATATATATATATGACAGATACTTAAGATTAGAAATAGTGATTTGTATGGGCTATGTCAGAGATAAAAGGTTATAAGGTAGAAGTCTTAGCCTGTCCCACTCAATGCTTAGAATAGGTAAGGATATTAGATTCACTTTTGAGGGAGACTAGGAGTGAGTCAACCCAACAGTCCAAATAATTAAAATTTTTCTTCCCTCAAAGTATAGTCAAGTTCCTAGGAGACCATACTGTTCATTTTGCCTTGCTCTATTTTCACCTCTTTTCTTTCCCACTTTTTGTATTCAGAAAACAAGAATTCACTATGATCAGAAATATATATGTTTGTATGTCTACATATGCCTATATGTACGTGTGTGTTTCTGTTGATAAAAATTGATAGCATATATGTATGTTTCCATGTAAGAAGTTATTACTCAAATCAAAATTTTTTGAGAAAACCTATGGTACAGCTCTAAAGTGTAGCACTTCACATAACTAGTCTCTGTATCAGTGCTTAAGAGATATATGGCATCCCAATGCATCACAAAAGGGGAAATATCATGGCAAAATACACATCTAATGGATAGTAGCATTATAATTATAATTCTTACAGTTTTAGACCACTCCGGGATCAGTCTGAGCACTCTATCACAGTCTAAATTTGATCCTGCCACAAGAGTATAAATAGATGATAAACAATCCAGGGTAGTATTCTAGTCCAAAGAAACCAAAGAAACTTGTGAAGAAATAAAATGCTGAAGTTCAAATAGTTGAAACTTAATAAATTGACAAGGAGATTGAAAGGAAAAGCAAGCAGAGAACAAGGATAAAAATGACTGAAATGAGATTTCAAAAATTCCTGTGTATTCAGAACCCAAACAGAAAATAAAACACATATCAAATTGCAAAGTCCATTTCGAAAAGAGATACAACAAAATTTGTAGCTACTCCCACATGCACACAAAGATTAGACAACTAGATTTCATAGCTCTTACAGGCTTTTAAAGTATTAATCAAATACTGCATCCCTAATGACTAAATTTCAGCAATAAAATGAGTGAAAGCAATGCATAAACCACAGCAGTAGCACATTGTTTCTGAAACAACAGAATAGAAAGAAATTAAAATATCAAGGTATGGCAAAGAAACGGAAAGAGCCACACCTTCCACTGTATGTGCTCCAGTTTCTGCATCAGCTAGACGCTGACTTAGGTTGCTGCAAGGAAATGAGAGATTAATGGTAAGCAGGTGCAACAACTGTTTAATTGGACACATCTAAGAAGTAGAATTTGCAGTTTATGAAGACTCCCAGTGTGTGTGCAACTTATCTTTCCTCTTGGTCAATAAAAATCAAGACTCCCAGTAAGCATGTATTTGCATGCTCAGATTCTTGCACGTGTACGCACACACATTCATGAAGGAAAGAATAGTTTTCTTGATATTCCTGATTAATTTTAAGGATTGTGAGGATAAAAGGTTAAAGAAGAAAGCAAGGTACCTAAGACTGTCAAGCAGCATGATCACAACTTCAGGTTTCTGATTATGATGCTTGAGCACTCTAACAAAGGCTTCAGCAGCTGCTGGTTGTATCTTTTCATCTGATGAGCAAACAAGACGAACTAATGCAGGCAACACAAATGATGGGTCTGCGGAAAGCAGTTATTCAGTTATGCAGAAAGCTGTAATTAAATCATTACTCTTAAATACAAGAGGTAAGAACAAAAGAAGATTTTTGTCATGGTACTCAAGCATTTGATTAATCGCAAGAAAAATTCCACAAGAAATTACATAAAGCTCAATTTCAAACCAGTTGTAGAACATAAATATGGCATTGGGAAACAATTTAGTACTAATACGTTGTCTTCACAGCATTTCTTGTTTTCAAGAAGGGTTAATTACATATTTGGCACTTGAACTATAGTCAAATGTTCAATTTGTTACCTAAAGTTTAAATACATGCAATGTGGTACTCGAACTTTGCTTCTGTTTCTAGATTGCATATTCTGTTAGCAAAAAGAGTGGCGTAGCAATGCCATGTCATTGCCAAACCATTACCATGTCATAGGGTGGGGTTGGCTGTTGAGGAAATGTCAGACTTTCTGCTAACAGAATGTGCAATCTGATTAACCGAAGCAAAGTTTGAGTAGGAATGCACATATGTAAACTTTAGGTACCAAGTCAAACATTTGATTATGGTTCGAACACCAAATGCATAATTAACCCTTTCAAGAAATGTACACAAGGAAGGCAAATCCAATTATGTGGTTTGGCAAAATTATCGAAGTTACACAAAACAGTGTTGAGACTTATCACTAAATAAGGTCAAACTAACCAATCAGAGGAAGCAAATTGGATGTTTGTTCCCTGGTTGCAGTTTCTTCATCTCCAAGGCACAAAAGTAAATTATTTGCTATATTTTGCCTGCAATAGAAATAGGAAGAAGATAAACAAAAAGACTAAATAGTGACAACTCAAGAAATCACAAAATCATAGCATCTAAATCAACCTCATACCAGGTAGAATGAGAAACTATATGTGCTGCATCTGTTAATATGTGAATTAGTTCTGATATAACATCAAAAGCGTTCCTCCTCTGAATAGCATTTCCAGAAGCAAGGCGTTTAAGAACTTCTTCAAGACAGTGACCGTCAGCAGTTCTGGTGGACCATTAATCTAAGTCAGGTTTAAACCCCAAATAGAGGCCATGAAAATTTATCCATGAGTAAAAGCTAATGAATGAAAAATTAAAGAGGTTACATGCAACAGTATTCTGCTATGAGCATAACAACAGCTCTAGCTGCACCATCTCTCTCGTCAAGAAGGTGAAGCAGCAGCGGTACCACAGCATCCATCTGCTTGGTGTCAGTTACACTGCTTCCAGATGAATGTTTTGGCTTAAAAATGACAGCCTTGAATATACTCACAACCCCATCGATTACATCATCATCATTGCAGTGAAGCTTCCCAAAATGCACCAAGAACAGAAAAACAGTGCATGTCAACAATAAGACACAATGCCCAAACAATAACCTAGACTTTGTGTGTTACAAAGAATGATAACAACATTGGATGCTTAGCACTAAAATCCAGGGTATTATGGATGCTAAGATTGAGTACAATCAGTCAACTCATTTCCAAAAATGTTCAATAGACATAGCAACAGCCAGCTGGACCCATCCAGTCGTAAAAAACAGCAGGCTGAAGGCTGCAAATACATAAACCATTTTGGACAGCCTCATGACCAACCATTTGCAAAATAATTAGCACAAAGCAAACAGACTGCAAATCCCCCACATCTGCCTGCAGACAGTAAAAGCTTGTTCATACACAGCTTGTTTTGAGGAATTAAACCTACTACCTGTCACTACCTAGGGAAGGAGAACTTGAATGAAAGTATGCTGCCAAAGGGTTCTCATAGCAACAGACTAAATCATACTATCAAGTATAGGCATATTTGGACTCATGTTGAACTAACAATGTTTCTTCAAGACCTCATCTATGCTTACCTGTGATAAAAGGAGATGTGACATCTGCTTTCCATATTCTGCCACTATGCGTTCAAATTTTTTCCCATCAAAACGCCCCAGAAGAAGGCATAAGCAATTCAGGAAAAACTTTCTGGTTTCTATACCATCATCCTTGCTCTCAGCATGCCCCTCATCGTGGTTGCTTGTGTAGTACTACATTTTAATTCCCTTTAAGGCATTAGCAGCTAAACAAAATTTATCAAACCAAAGCAGACTTAACACCTAATAATCAATATCATAATGCTATAAAAACAAGATCGACAAACAGTACCTGACAAGATGTTATGCTATCAAACAAATATAAGCATGCACATTAAACAGCTCTAATCAAAACCACGTTGTCCTTTTTTAGAAATTCTTGTCACACTAAACATGAATTCAGATATCAAAACAAACATGCATCTTTGAAAAATGTTCCCAGTAAGTGTTCCTTTAATATTACTCTTTCAAATAGTTTCAAGCTTCCAAAGCAACAGACAGCAAATTGAATGTGTCTAATAGCATTGACTGCTAACTGTAACTGGAAGCCCTCCCCATGTGTCCTCCTAGGAAACATGTACATGCACATTTGCACCTAAGGGAGGGGGATGGGAAAAGAAAAATCAGCATTGCAAGAAATAACTTCTCAACAGAACTCAATTTTTACATATAGTACAACATGGCGGAGTGAGATAAAAGGGCAAGGGAATGTGAAAAAACTGCTTGCTCGAAGATGAATTTTAGATTCGTTAACATGTTTATAAGGTATCTCACTCACCTCACAATATTATTAAGTCGTGAGGAAAAGGAGTGAACTTGGAGAAGTTAAAGAGAGTTTCAAGTGCTTTACCAGTTGTCAAGCTCTTTTCTACCTTATTGAACCAACAAATCTGTCTACAATGACATGCTCAACAAAATCTTCAGTAAGACTTGACAAACTGTACATCCCAACCTCCTTTATTTTCTGATTTTTTTCTTCATAGGTCTTTTTTTTTCTTTCCTTGTTTGATTAAAAGAAAGACAGGCATCTTTAAAAGGTCACTTCTCTTCCTTAATAAAAAATAGGATGTGTTTCTTATCCTATATTTGGGCTGTCAACACCAAGAAACTAGAGGCACCTCCTAGGGCATTACCAAGATTAAATATATGTTGGCATGTTCTTCTGCATCATATGGTACTACAAGTGATCAAGATTGAAGATACCCTCCTAGAGGTAGATCAAACTAAAATTTGATTTTACACCAATAGGAAACCCAAGTCAGCCGGGTGCTAAAAGTGTTTTAAAAGATTATTTAGAGTGCCTACTCCAAGCACTCCTACAGTGGAAATAAACTTTTTACAAGGTAACCCTCATTATCTCACTCAAATCATGTGAACAAAAACCTCATCAAAATATAAATTAGAACAATTATAGGTTTATTCAACAAGCATAAAGCCATATCATCATAAAAATCATAAAATTATCAAAATTTAATATATCTCACCTGGATGCCTGACAAGTACTGGTCCAACATTTCCTTGTAATGCTTAGTAAATTTGTGATCTTCCAAGTGCAATAGCAGGCCATAATGCTTCCAACATGAAGAGAGTAGCAATGCTCCAGTCTTTTGTATCTTTGATCCTGTCTTCCAAGTTGGAAATGAACAAATCATGATGAATGTAACATTAGGCATAATTATACATAGATATGCTTAAAAGAATAATTAAGGTATAGGACCTGCCTCATCTTGAAGGCCACCATAATGCACTTTTATCTCCTGCAACCACTTAAGCACCTGCTCCAATCCTTTAGCATGTAATGGACGACTTTTTCTGCTCCACTGTAGTGCATAGTAATGCATTAACATCCTATTTTGGTTTTTTGGAGTATACATGTAATGGTTCATCAGACAATGTAACAGAATAAGAGAAGAAATTTACATACAGTGATCAAAATTAGCTGACTTATCAAATAAAACCTTTAATAAAACAATTGGGGCAAATATTAAAAGTTTCCAGTTGAATCTAATGATACTCAAGAAAACGTTGAAAAGCTAAAAGGTCAATTTAGTCAACTACTTGATAATTATATCATGTTCCTTCTATAAATAAATGATAAGACAACTCCCCCAGAAGAATTCAAACAGGATACTAGCAGGGAAAAAATGAAGAATATCAAGAAGAAGACTAAATAGAGGCTCTAACAGTTCTTTGAGCTTCAATTGTTGAAGATAAGGTACATCAGAAGGTTGGAAAGTTCAAGTTAAAGGAAATTAAAGAACCTAAAACAACATCCCAATTGACCACAGAGAGCACAAAACTCAGAGAAATAACATTGCCAGAGACAATATCAGAAAAAAGAAGTCCTGTAATATAGAAATCTCAAAATATCCTATCTCGCTTTCGGACAAGAGTGTCTAGAAACTAACTCGGGAATGACAGTTTCAAGGGCTAACAAAGAGCCATATTAATTAGTATATATGTAAAAAGCAGCAAAAGCAAAGAGTCCTCAAACAGGAGGAATAGTTTACCAGAATTATAAGGTAAGTTCTCCTTCTTTCTACATACCTATCAAATCATCTAACCTATTGTAAAGGAAGCCTTACACCTTCACATAGTCAAAGTAATAATCTCCCTAGGTTGTCAGGATACTGGAACTGTTACTTAGAATTTTTAAACTTCAACTGCAAAGCTATGTTGAATGCACGCTTTACAACCTATATACTAATGTATTCAAGTTCATTTCCTCCCAAAATTCTAAACCAAATTTTTAAAAGAAGATCAATCTGCTCATGATATCATTCTTCACTTTCACTTGGGTAATTTGTTAGCATTTGGTTTCCTGCTGATGGTTGTTAACAGCCTCATTTGTCAGTTTATAAGTCAATGACTTCTTTTGTTCTGTATCTGAAAAGTTCATTCCTAGCTCTCTTAACATTTGAGCATATTCTATGATGAAAACATTCCCTTACTATTTTTGCCATTCCCCAGTTGCTTTAAATAATGATTTTGTGGGATATACTACTATTCCTAGGCAACTTTTCCATTTTCTCTAATCTCTTATGGCCAGGCTCTTCTTGCCAATGGGTAAAACAGATCTATAACAACTGAGAAATTAGTAAATTCATGAAACTACACACGTAGTGAATAAAAGCTTATTCAGAACACTCACCTCCAGTCATCTAATGAGACTTTTTGAGAAAGTAGAACATTTATTTTTACCCTCATATACTAAAAATTTAAATAAAAAATAGCAAAAACTGTGTTGAAGGAAAAGATAAAAAAACAAAAAATAGATATGAGTAGTCATTGGACCAAAAAATAAATAGCCAATGTCTAACACATACTGCAAGGAGTCTCTGCACTAAAAAAATGAGATCTTCTAGATGATCCCATAACAAAAACTCCACACCCCTGGTTAAAACTTCAGAAGATTTATGAGTAGCTTTCACCTTCCTCTCATCAATGCCAGATGCTGTTAAAGTAACCAGACAGTTTGATTCACTGGAGCTTAATGATTTAGGCCTGTTACTAAGAATATCGGGCTTTTTTGTCAACCCTTCTGTTAAAGCCAATAAACAATCTGCAGCAGCCACTGAAAGGCGTGAAGGTAGTTCAAATTTATCCTGCAAACTGCTGCAGAAACAAATGGCCAACAATGAGACAAATCTATCAAACGTAATATGAAGTTTTACATATGTTTTTTATGTGAAGAAGAATAAGAAGAAGAAGGTTGCTATTAGTATTACCAACCAGCTAACACTTAGATGCCTAATTTTCTCATCCAACATATCAGAACAAATTCAAGCTCAAAGACCAACAACTTAATGAAAGGCAAACTAATTCATATTATATGCACAAAAGCAACCAATAATAACCATTTAATCAAATCAGGAGTATTTACTCGATGCCAACAGAGATGAAATTGAATAATACCTTCCCCTATGTACAATATACGATAGATGTGGAATACAAGTGCAAAGTATCTTCAACAGAGCATTGTATTTCTCCTTTATTCCTGAGTTATTTGGGGAGAAAAGAAATTCATCAATTTTCAATGAATAAAAGCACAATTCACAATTATACTAAAGATTATTCTAGACAGACTTCCCAGCAGAAATATGCTAAAAGAACAGTAAAATTAAAAATATTTTTAGAAAAAATAAATTCTAATGAAACAAAAATACAGAATATAAGGTTGTGCTTGTTGCATTTCAAAAATTAAAAAAAAAAAAAACAACAAAGGTTGTGTTTGTTCATCACCTTTGCTACTTCCTTTTTGCTTATTTAAAAGTTGCTATAAAGCAAAAGCAAATGATAGAAAGAAAAACTATAATTAATTATGTAACAAATGACTAAAATGTAACACCCATTCTAACATAATTGTTTCATGTAAAAGTAAAACCATGCATCTTGTTATTAAAATATTACATTTTTTATTTTTTATTTTTCAAAAATATTTGTGCGTGTACCTAAATGCATTGTTTGCTTTTTGCTTTGTAAAGCAAAAAGCTAATAGTAAAAGCAAGAGGCAAAGAGAACACAAGTTTTTCAGCAGCCCCCCGAATTTAACTAAAACTCCAAAAACATAGCTACACAAACATTCTACACTCAAAACAGATACTTAATAGAGACAACTTAAATAGCAATAGACTACAGAATTTGTATTTTTACCATTTAACAAATACTGATCCATACTACTTTCATACTCCATGAGTCCCCGCACAAGAGTACACCAACCAAAAGCTATATACCGATCATCTTTCCTCACAATTATATTTGCAAGATTCATGGCAACTGCTTGAAAAAGAAGCTCATCTTGGAAGAGCCAATTGAGAAGTATCATAGGTTGACCGCCATGCTTCAAGTCCTTGTACTTCAATGACTGGCAACAAGGAATCAAACAAGTAAACCTCCCATTTAGTTAGTTCATTTCTTACTCACTTTCAACATCTAAATGCATAAATAAATAAATAAATAATCAAATTCAAGAAATTAAATTTTGCGAATAATAGAATGCATGATTTTATAATTATTTCAACATGAATTCTTTTTTTCTGGTAAACAAAACGCAAATAGCAGAATGAGGTAGAAAAAATAGCAAACCAAACAGGGTAACAAACAAATAAAAAGAAAAAAAAGAAAATTCCAAATTATAGAATTTTTTAAGAAAAAAAATAAAGAAAGGTTGTTTTGTTACGTGTTCGATCATGGGAACAAGAACCGCATCCAAAGTTTCGTCTCTCTGAGCCGCATCTTTGACGTACTTGTGAAGAAACCAGAGGCATTCATCCATAGAAACTGCAAATTTCAACATTTAAAAAAAAAAGTGTCAAAATGTATTGTACAGGAATGTAAATTTCGTATGTTAGGTGTTACCGAGCGAGGTTTTGTTGGAGAAGTCGGGGGAGAGGCGAGAAACGGAGTGGTGGAGCTTTTTGGGACGGGCGGTGAGGAGAGTGCTCATGGCTCTGCCGATTGTGAACGAAACCATTGATTCTGCACCTGATTTCCATATTAGCTGTTCTTCTTGCTCTTCCCGTCGCTCCATTTGAGTCAAGTTAGATGGAAATTTTGAAGCTCTTGATTACCATGTAGGTGGTGGAAGAGTGAAATCTCCACTTGTAAGGGCTGGAGAAAAAGAAAACTAGCGTGTTCCAAGAAATATGTCGCAACTGGGGAGAAGCAAGACTGTTTCATTCTTTCTGAGAGTATTTATTTATGGGGCCTGGTACAAACACTCTAGTTTGGGTCATCAGATGGGCCTCAAAAGTCTTAAACCATTCTTTCTAGACGAACCTGTCATGGGACTACTTTCTTCACTTTTTTGAAAAATCAAAATTATTAAATATTAATTATACATTCTGTATTTTTTAAAAAATTTTATGCCCTACGTTGATCTGTAAAGTAAAAAATTAACAATAAATTTACAGAATATAATGAAATAAGATTATTAATAAAAAAAGTTAACTTTCATTATTATCTTATTACAAGTATGTTTGGTTTTTTTTAATTTAAAAGTTATTATAAAATTTTTATGAAAAATAATAATTTTTAAAATTAATTTAAATATATTTGATAAATTTATTTTTGTAATTTTTTTATAATTAAATCGTTTCACAAATTAATTTATATAATTTTTAATTTTAATTAAAATTACCATAAAAAGTATTTAATAAATAATTTTTTACTAATGACAAATTTTTTTATTTACAATGAAAAAAATTAACTTTATTTTTTAATTTATTTAAAATAAATTTTTAGAAATATGAAAAATATTTTTATATAATATAAAATTTATAATTAATAATAAATTATATAAAATAAAAAAAATAATGTTGAAATTATTTTTTGAATTAAAAAATTCTTTTAAAAAAAAGACGTGTTTAAAAAAATAAAAGAAAACTTCTCCCTTCGGCTTTTTTGAAACTCTTTTTTTTAATTTTATTTTTTAAAAAAAATTCAAACTTTTTAAGGTATAAATAAACTGAAAAAGGAAAACCAGAACAAAGCACTATAAATGCATTTCCTACCAATTAAACATTCAAAGAGAAATTTGAATTTGCCCCTACCAGATTTAAATTTTTTTATTTTTTTTAGATTGTTGGTCTTTTTTTTTTGTTTTTAGTATACTTTTTAGAAAAAACTTACTATAATTTTGATCATCTATCCCAAAATCCAAATGGTCCATCAAACCAATTAGCAATTTAACCTACCAACCTGATTAAAGAATCGAACCTCCACTCCAATTAATAATCTTGACTTCAAGCTCAATTAATTAAGCCACTGGCTCGAATTAAAAATAAATCCAAAAAAAGCTAAAAAATAGAAATGGGATCAACTGTCACCGAAGCAACCATATTAGGAAAATTGAAACAAAATGTTCAGATGACAGATGAATAATTACAAGAGAATAAATAAGACAAAAAAAAAAAACACCAAATCTGTAAACTGTACGAGTACAATTTCTTTGTCTTAGTGATTGGCATGAAAGTACCAACTCATTGCCAAGAAGACAACCAACCCCCAATACCCACCTAATCAGCATCACTCTGAAAGCTACCAAAAGAGAGCAAAAAATGAACATTACAAAGCAATGGGTTGGCCTTCAGAAAGAAGGGAGAACAACAGGAGGCATCAGGATCTGTCGTTAGATTGAGCACCAAAAGCCAATGCAGGACTTGGTCTTGGCCCTCTGGAAACAAAATGAAGAAATAAATCTCTTAGACAGGTATGGTTACCAGTCAAATAACCTGCCATAAAAAAACCATTCAAAGAATACATAAGGGAAAGGTAGCGTTACATGTATAACACCACCTACCAGCAGAATCGTAGTTATATTTTGCAGTTCAAAGACACATGACAAAACTGAACTTTAAAACCGTCTGACCAGGAAAATTCAGAAGTTGAAGCTAGCAATAGTTAGAGAGTAATAAAGTTTTACAGATCAATTGTAGAACTTCAACTTTCAATCAATTCATCCTAAAGCTATACTGTATATATAGAGGTCAGAGTAAGATTATACAGGATAATTAACATCTGTACAAATTACAAAATAATATCATGCCTTCGAAGACATAAGTATAAACCCATGTTTATAGTAACCATAGCCAAGTGATAAAAGAAAAAACAGAAGTTGATCCTCAGTGAGCAAACAAACGGCTCTATAGAAGCCTATAGCTAAGGAGAAACCTTAAGTTAGGCATTTCAATGCGCAGCAAAACTGCTCTTCAGAAGGATTACGACTTGAAGCAGATAGCCTTCCAACAGCCTCACTAATAAAATCCCGATGAATATGAGCAGAAATGAGCTATTTCTGGCCTACAATATGTTGAATAACACTTAATTGGTGACATAAATAGTTTACGTTGCTGTTTAACTAGGATTACTAATTAATCCAAATAGTGTGGAAAGAACTATGGTTCCAAACAGCTACTAACTAGGATATGCAAACATGGCCGATAGCCTGATACACTAATATTTGACAGGCATTCAAGTTTGTTAATTTTTACCTTTACAATTGTTTATGACCTTAGCAGCTCATTGAATTTGCCTCAAAAAATCAAGTTGATGAATCCATGCAACACAATGTAACCAACCACGGAAGATAAATAACAAAGAAAGAAAAGAAGTAAAGCTACAATAACATAAAATGGCATCCAGCCACACCACTGGTCAATGATCAAGCGGTACAAATTCAAAAATAGCATAGTAAGCATCAAGATAACTATTAAAAAAGGTAAATGGGATGCAGTGTGCTCTAGTGATCCTTAATCAAACATGACATAAAGAAAAACAGACAAGCAAATTTTTAAAGATAAAAACGAAGTTTTTCTTTGTCTTTTCCCCTTCTCGTTACAAAATTTTGTAAAGGTAAAATAAATATCTTAGAGTTTGTTCACCAGTAGTCACACAGGAGCATTTGCCATCCACAAAAAATGATTGAACCGGTTGTTATTCAGTGCAATATACTCTTCATCTTTTTCCACTTCTTGTTTCAAAAAATTTGTTAGGTGCAATAAATGGTATCTTATACATTACAATTCATTCACCAATAGTCACCACAGGAGCATTTTCCATCCTCAAAATGATGGAACCGGTTGTTATCTCTCACAATAATTACTCTTCCGGAGCACTTGGACATAAACTTGATTGCTGTATGACAATCACCACAGATGCGTAAGTTCTTCATAACCCTAATTGGCCTATCTGGTGCAAAGGTAATGAGCCCAAATGCAACAGCTAGTCTTTCACTATGATATCTTATAGTCTGAATCTTTTCTTCACCATCTACTTCTCTCAGCACAAACCTTGTGTCTGCAACATAACCAACTTGCTCCATTTCCTCTCCTAATTCCTCTAATTTCTGATAAATTTCTTTAGTTTTTGCATGAGATCTATCCCCGGCAGCAAATGTGTGAACCTTGTTTCCCTCCTCAACCCAACTCAAACCTGTCTCTTTCTTAATCCCTAGGTCCCTAAGCATCTTTCTAGCTTTGGCTGCATCCTCATATCTCCCAGCAGCGGCATAAGCATTAGATAATAACACATGCAAACCTGAGCTGACAGGTCCTAACTCAAAGATCCTATCTGCAGCATAAGCTGCCAATTCAGTGTTCCCATGAATTTGACACCCAGTTAAAAAGGCTCCCCAAACGGATTCTGTTGGCTGTATGGGCATTTCCCTGATGATTAAAAGTGCCGCCTGCAATTTACCAGCACGACCCAACAAATCCACTAAAGAAGCATAATGTTGATCACCTGGCTCAATTTTATACTCCTTCATTAACTCAAAGTAATGTTGTCCCTTCTCAACAAGCCCTGCATGGCTACAAGCATAGAGCACACACAAAAACGTAATAAAATTCGGTTTGATCCCAACACCTTCCATCTGTTTAAACAAATCAAACGCTCTCTCTGTATGCGAATGCTGAGCACAAGCAATCAACATTGCATTCCACATCCCAAGATTCCTGACACACACTTCATCAAAAACCAGGTAAGCTCCTTCAATCACTCCACATTTTGAATACAAGGAAATCAAAGAACTCCCTACAAAACTCGATAAATTATAATTCGTTTTGAAACACAAACCATGTATCTGCTTCCCTAACTCAAGCAAAGTCGAGTTAGCACAAACCTGTAAAACACTCGAGAATGTAAAATCATTCACATCCAAACGTCTATATAAAGCTTGTTTGAACAACATCAGAGCTTCCTCATATTCTCCTAACTGAGCATACCCATAAATCATCCCAGTCCAAGAAACCACATTTCTTTCGGGCATTTCATCAAACACTTTCCTCGCAATCTTAATTTTCCCGCATTTCCCATACATATCAACCAAAGAACTCGCCACGAAAACATCCATATCATACCCAGTTTTCAAAATAAGGCAATGTATTGATTGCCCGAGATCAAACCTTCCCAAAGTCGCGCATGACTTAGTCGCACTAGGGAAGATATGATCATCGGGTTTGATGTTGTTAACCAGCATTTCGCGAAAAAATTCAATTGCGAGAGAAGGGAGTTCATTTTGAGCGAAAGAGGAGATGACTGAGCTCCAAGTTGCGGAACTTTTGATTGGGGTTTCGAAGAAGACTTGGCGGGAAAAGAGAGGTAGTTGGGTTTTGGAGTAGAAGTTAAGGAGGTGGTGGGAGATGAGAGGGATGGTTTGGAGGCCTGCTTTAATGATGTGGGCATGGAGTTGGACACCCTTTGGGAGGGACCTTGAGTGGGTTAAAGAGAGGAGAACATTGCAGATGTTTCTATAGTTTTGCTCAAAGGAGTTTTGGTTTAAAGGGTTTTGGGGAAGTTCTGGGAGAGGTGTAGCCATATATATAGGATTAGGGAACCGGTCCGCGAGTTGGGGTCATGGCTAGATTATGTTCAACTTCAACGATTCAAGCAATTTATACATTGACCATCTTGAAGCTAATGAAAACAATAATTAAACGGGGCAAGAGAAATTCCCGAAGGGAGACTGTCAAGCTTGTGAAGTCGAATCTATCTCTTGAGAAGTGCTCCACTTAGCAAGCCAATCAGCAGCAGTGGTTTTCTTTTTTTATTTTTGCGCTTATGGCTATATGTGACAGTCCAACTCCAGTCCTGCCTAAGAAGTGTCTGATTGAGCAGACCAAGGGTGTGTGCCATGTGCTCTTTGGTTGCTTCGACAATGTTGAGTGAGAAATTGGAACCCAATACGGTAATTCAAACCCAATTTGAGAAATTGGAAAGAAGGCTCAAATCTTATGGCATAATAATAATAATAAAAGCTTAAAATTAATTATTCCTGAAGAAGTTTAAAATTAAAAACCAGTACAATTGAAACGTTAAAGGAAACCTGAAACAAAATGAATAGTTTACACTAATTATAGAAGAAACCTTCAATATAAGGGAAAAACAATGCTTTCAGCTAGCCATGGTAGGGTGAATTTTATAGTAAAGCGACAGAGATGCCTGTTTATCCTCCTAGAAACGCAGCTTTGACCTTATGTCTAGCAACTATCGTGTTTGTATAAGCAAGCTTCAAGCTTACATGAGATCAAAGCAAGTCATTGCTGTAAGACCATGGTGCCGGTATACCATCAGTTTACCTGTGAAGGAAACTGTAATCACCTGGTTCAGTCATGACTGGAACAGGAGAATATGTTTCGCATTCTTGGTCCACGAGTAATTTTTTAATCATATAAAGTCTTATGATCCTTGATGTTTGGCAGTTGTTTTTACTTGGTGGCGGTAAACCCAATCTTTCTGATAAATTGATGAATCATAATATATTAATATAATAGTTTTCGTGGGAGTTCTGGGCCTTGTATATCTGAGGGAGGTTTATGCAGTATCTGGTGTAGAACGTTTTAGTGTAACATTACATATCACTTCTTTTCCAAAAGGAAAATCTGATCATTACTTCCTCATTAAGTCTGCTTTAGTTGAAGTTCTGCATAGCCATCTTGATTCCTGTGGATTCTTACGCTGCATCAAATTGTTCGTTGCCCATTCCCTGACTTTGCCATGCTGCTTGAAGCATTTCTTGTGGCATAATCACAAGAAATAGAGTTGGTGAATATGACAAGTTTTTAGCCATTTTTTCTTTTCTGAGGAAGTTTGAATTACTTCCACCAGTTGCTTGTTGGACAGCCACAGTCTAATTATGGCTGTTGATGGTATTTTACATACGTGGAAGAATACTGGAAAGTTACCCCTCTTTGTGTTCTTCAAAGATACAAGGTATTGTTCATATAGCAATCAGCGTTTAGTTCTTTTGCTAAAAGATCGATAGCTGCCTAATCATATTGATTCTGATTCAACCTACTTGGAACACTATCCTTTGACATAAGATTATAGGATAGTAGGATAATTATGATTTAAACCCAGATTTCAACCTCAACACCCACCCACCCACCCACCCCCCCTTTTTCCTCTTTCCCATAAAAATCATGCAGTCAGGCTTTTGGGTTTTTACAATTAAGTTGTACTCTGAAACATCAGTTATGTTGTTTTATTATTCTTTGATTATATCAAATTAATAATGTATAGTTTTATAACAATTTTGGCAGGAATGTTCTCAAGAATGATGAACTGGGAATAGAAATAGCACACATCGCACTTCCAGCAACACTTGCTTTGATGGCAGACCCTATTGCTTCGCTAATAGACACAGCATTCATTGGCCGTATAGGTTTGTGGTCATTTTCTTCTGGCATGATTATGCGATATACAATGTATATACAGCACTAGTACACTTCAAAGACAAAATTACCTTATTGGTCGGATGGAAACGATAGAAAAGTTGTTTCTCTGTTTCTAAGTGATGCTACATATCCTACTAAAAAGATGTGAATTTTCTATGTTCTTAACATGAAACTGTTTCACAGCCTCTTATTTTGTTCTAATTGCCATAAGATAATGCAAGATTATAGAGGCCTGCATATTTGCATAAAGAAGCAAATAGTTTCCTTTGATTATGATTTTGGAAGTAGAAGCTATTGCTTCACCCGGATTGTATCCGTACAGTGTTGGTCAATTTATAAGTACTTTCATATAGTGTCAGTATCATCAGTGGCTCCGTTATCTGTTTGCCATATACGTAGCTGATGTTTTTGATTCTCAGCCACCATTCATTTGTCTGACATCTCTGCTTGCACCAAACAACAACAACAACAACAATAATAATAATAATAATATTTTGGTTCAATTTTTACATTTTGTTCATATAGGTTCTGTGGAGCTTGCTGCTGTAGGAGTTTCAGTTGCACTTTTTAATCAAGTATCAAGGATTACAATGTTTCCACTAGTCAGTATTACTACTTCTTTTGTTGCTCGGGAAGATGCTACCAGCAGATCAAGTGCTGAAGCAGAGCAAGATGAAATTCTTGAAAGGGGTCCTGTTGTTGACCATGAAATGGAAGAGCTTATGCCTCTTGTTGGTATGCTTTCCACATATTCTCTCCCCTGTTTTTGTTGAAAGGCTATTATGAGAGTGAATAAATTGCATTCTTAGATTACGTTCATATACATATACACATGAAGTTCTTTTCTAGTTTATTCTAAACAGTATCTTGACTATATCTGTTACATTTAGCGTGTTTAGGCTTCTCAGTAACTTTAGTAATGAGAATCACTATCGGCATTTGTAGCCTGCAGTAACACAAAAATGGCCGAGTCCAAGAATGAGAGAAGGCATATACCATCGGCATCTTCAGCTCTGGTTATTGGTAGCATGCTTGGGATCATTCAGACTTTCTTCCTCATTGTTGCTTCTAAACCTCTCTTAAGTTACATGGGTGTAAATTCTGTGAGTGTTCCTTTAGCATTTCCCTGGTGGCTGCAATTTCAGACATTGGCTCTCATTTCTTGCATGCTTTCTAAACTATGAATACATGCCTCAAGGCCCCCGTTAATATTAATATAGTTCTTTTCCTATTGTTGTTGGTTATCTTGCTAAGAAAGTGGATATGATGTCTTTTTTTTCTGGTAGTTGGTGTGATTATTTCACATACCTATGTCTAACCATCTTATAGTACATTTTCAGAGAAGTTTTCTTGAAGGTTGAGTGGGTTGCACCACTTTTATAATCGTTTATGGTGCTATATAAGAATGCTTAATATCAGGTAGCAATGGACTGATCAACAAAGTAAACATGTGTCCTTTTGCCGACTTTTCTTTCGCCAATGCCTATATTAAGTAAACATTTTCAAAAATGTAAAATTCAGAAATGATGAAGTGAGAATACCCCGTTAATTTTAGAAACTAAACCATCATGAAATACAATATAAAACTTATATCTTTATGAGGTCCTTACAACTTTTACAGTTTAATGATGGCTGAAGGGTCTTGCCCTTCATCATCTTTGAAACATGTTACCTCTTAGGCCAGCAATCACTGACTTGTCTAAATAAAGGACTGATAGGCAGTTGGTGTACTAATTGTTTTCTAGTTTATGCTTTTAGTACTGTTGTGCAGATACCTTACATTACCAGTAGCCTTTTGACCTGTCAAATGATTTCTGATCTAAATACAAGAGATAAATTTGGAAGGTTTTAATGGTACCTTAGTAAGGTTAGAAGGTGAAATGATTTCTCTGATTTCAGTTAATGTAAATGGACAACGGTTGTATTCAATGCTTTGCCTTCCATGACTATCAGAAATACTATTGCTTCATACTATGAAGATACTCTGTGGAACATTAAAATAAAATTCCCTCGCGGTTAAGACTGGGAATTCTCTTTTGTCATGAAGCATTAGACAAGTGCATTTGTGTATGCATATCCTAGATCACCGAGTTTAAATTTGATTATATAATTTCTAATTAATGTGGATTTTGACTGCAAATTTTGAATATGCAGGTGACTGCTTCTAAGAAAATTTAGTCAAGAGTGTCTTCTTTTCAACCAATTGGACTTTTCCTCTCCCATAATCACTAATTCTGTCTTTTATTTCAGTTCTGTAATATGTTACGTGTATGCCAGAGTCATAAAGTAATGGTTAATTCTAATATATTGAATGAATATCAGAGAGGTCCAGTTTTATAGAAGTGGAAGAGGACAGTAGAGGTGGTCATATATGATTCATACTTTTAATTCACAATAGTTTATAATGCAGAAGTTATAATGTTTAAAGTGGCTCTTCCCCAATCAGATTTTCTTAATTGTTGTAAAGTATTGTTGATTGAACTGGAGTGAAAGGCATTCAGATTCTTTTCTGATAAATCACTGTGAAGAAGTGTCACTAGGTTTATAGAAGGTTCTCAGTTTAGTTTCTTAACAGCAATTGCCTAGACCGAATCCTGCTGCTTGAAATGAACTCATCCTTTTTGATCCCCAAGACTATAAAAATGCTGCATCTTTATTGTTTCTCCAAATTATGTTAGCCTCTAATTTTTCTACCAATGTTTAGTGTAATGGTACTAATTTTGCTTTTGCAGGAATCTCCTATGCTCAAGCCAGCACAACAATACTTGACAATAAGATCACTTGGTGCTCCAGCTCTTCTTCTCTCTTTAGCTGTGCAAGGGGTTTTTCGAGGCTTAAAGGATACCAGAACTCCTTTATATGCTATCAGTAAGCCAGCTTTCCTGTTAATTATATTCAAGTTAATTTTTCTTGGTGGCAAAGCAATTGGCAATATCAACTTGTGTGGACCTATTAGGAAAATCCCATGAAAGGAATTCACTGAATTGTGCTCTTAACATTTGAAATTACTATATTTCCATTGATTTAATGAATTTTTTCCACATTTACATTGAATATCATTTTTGAGGATTTTTGTAATGCTGCCATTTCTTCAATGGAATAAACGCATTCATGAGTAGGATATGTGTCTTCAGATGTTAGAAAAACCATTTTGAAATCATACTTGTCCTAAGGGATTCTCTATCACCCATTTATGAATGGAAAACATTGTACAGTTGCAAGGATTTTCATTCTTTATCTGAGTCTACTTCTTTAAGCGGTACTTCACTTTTGTGGGTTAACTGCCCCTAATCTTCTTCAGTTTGCAATTGCTAATGTAGTTGTAGGAGATTCAGCGAATGTTCTTATGGACCCAATATTCATATTCACATTTGGTCTGGGCGTCAAAGGTGCAGCCATTGCTCATGTCCTTTCTCAGTAAGTTACATATGTTTTTGCTGATTCATTTTTATTGGTTTCTTACATGTTGGCTGCATCTTCTGTCTGGTCTTTTGATGTGCCTTCATCTCAGTTAATCACTTAGTGCATTATTTTTGTAGGTATTTAATTGTTCTCATGCTCTTTTGGAGATTAGTTGACAAAGTTGATTTGTTACCTCCAAGTTTTAAAGAACTACAATTTGGTCAATTTCTAAAAAATGGTGAGTGTTTTAATTATGGTATTTAACAAACTCAAAGGATGTTAATTGTTTTAATTAATCACATTTCATGGTTCAGTAGGGACTTCTAATCCAGTTTTTATTCTCTTCAACTTTCATGCCAATTGAGTTACCTTAGTTATTGGGAGAAGAAAATGATATAGAACACTGACAGGACTATGATATCTGCACGGATGACAACTTCAGGATTTCTGCTATTGGTGAAGGTAATTGCTGTGACGTTGTGTGTGACCATTGCAGCATCACTATCTGCTAGGCAGGGACCAACAACAATGGCTGCATTTCAGATTTGCTTGCAGATTTGGCTGGCAGCCTCTTTGCTTGCTGATGGATTGGCTGTTGCAGGACAGGTACGATTTTATTTACTTTAAGCAACTACCTTGATGATGTTTGTCCTGTACTTCCTATTTTTGCAACAAGTGCATTTCACTTAGACACTGGCTTCAGAATCAATCAGAAGCATAAGCTTTGTTGGCTGGTTTTCTTTAAAAATGTGCTATTGTTTTCAAGCAGACCACGGAAGGAATTAGGATTAAATAAAAAAAGATTTTGCAGTGTCTTGCTATTTGTTGCTTCAATGTATGCTTCCCTGCTTCTCACCTCTAACCCCCATAGAAGCGAGCTTCAATTTAGATGATTTTCCAAAGAGAAGAATACAACAGTTTCCAACTTTTCAGGCAATCCTTGCAAGTGCATTTGCAAAGAAGGATTATGAGAAGATTATAGCCAGTGCTTCCCGTGTGCTTCAGGTGCTAGTATTTCAAAGTTAGCCTTAGTGTTTCGCTTTTCTTCATGTTCTAAATTGCTCATGGTTTCTATCTGCAGATTGGTATTGTTTTGGGGCTTCTGCTATCATTTATTCTGGTAGTTGGTTTACAATTTGCTTCCAGACTATTCACAACGGACATTGATGTTTTGAATCTTATAAGCCTTGGCATTCCAGTACGACTCTCTTCCTTGATCAAAACCTACAAAATCATCTGTTCTGTTCTTGGAATACTAACTTGTTCTGGTATCAACATATTTCTTCTTGCTGATTAGTTCGTTGCAGCAACCCAACCCATCAATGCCTTAGCCTTTGTTTTTGATGGAGTGAACTATGGAGCTTCTGATTTCGCATACTCTGCCTACTCCATGGTTAGTTGAATAACAACCATTTTTACTGAATTTGAACAAGCATCAGCTTAGAATATGCACTGCAAATGTAGTGCAAAGGGTGAAGTACTTTGTAATAATCAAAACCACCAATTAATTCCAACACTGTTTAAAACTTTCTATGTTCTTCTTTATTTAATTTTCTTCAGCCTTTCTGTAGGTTTTGGTTGCAGTTATGAGCATCTTTTGCTTATTCATACTATCATCCAGTCATGGCTATGTTGGCATCTGGGTTGCTTTATCAATCTTTATGAGTTTGCGCGTGATCGCTGGTCTTTTGAGGTAATACCTTCAAGTAAGAATTGTGTTATTATCTTTTTTTTTTTCTCTTTCTTTCTGTTTTTCTCTGGAGAAGTAATCAGCTCTGCTCTTCTGCTCTGCTGCTTTCTGATAAACCAAAGGAAAAACTTTTTCTTTTCTTTCCCATCCATCAGGTACTTTAACCCAATAAATAGAATCAAATAACCTTATAGTCATCTTTCACAGTTATGTTGTAGTATGTAAGAGTTTTAGACAATGAATATCCTAACCGAAATTGGAAAATTCTGTCTGGCTCTAACAATTTCACATCAACATGTTCAGGATAGGTACTGGCATGGGGCCTTGGAGCTTTCTCAGGAGCTGACAGCTGCAAACATATCACTTACCTTGAGTTTCTTTTTCTCTTGGACGCTGCACTTTGATATTGCTGATGGTGATTTATATTTAATGATTAAATCCATTTCCCTTGTTTTGGCAACACAGTGAGAGGTATTTCAGATTCATGTTGATTATTGAATTTCTCCATCTTTTCCTCTCTCCATCCGCTTATCAACCCAACATGTCAAACCTTCCACCTGCATTTGCTCAATATCCTTGTTCTTCACAGATCCAGGGATCTCTGAAAAAACCAACATACAGAATGATATTTGACCTATATTCATGAACTTCTTGCAGTTCTTTGTTCCATATTTGTTCAAGATCCAGAGCAGCATCTACAAAATTGTCTCAAGTTTCAGGTCATTGTTTCAAGATGTTTACCATAAACAATCATACAAACTGTAGAAACAAATGTGGGTTGAGACATATCTTTAACCATATTGTATCGCAAAAGCCAGGAGGTAAAACAATTGGAAAACCTTTCATAATCAAAGCTATCAAAACGGAATTTCTTCATATGGACGAAGCATATAGAGTGAGTGCAACTACCATTGCCTTAAGTATACACAAACAAGCTTAGCTGAGTAGGCTTGGGGTGTATGGATATAGGGAAAAGATAAAATGGATGGTTAATCATTTACTGTCTTTTACTAAAAAATATCAGTTCCTTGGAAATGCTACCAACCTAAACCACATCTCTCCACAAAGGGAAGCCTTCCACCTCCTGGAAATGGTATTAGATGACTTAAAAAAAAACTCTTTCCTCCCCAGTTTCCATTGAAGAGGACCACTGACCTACGAAACTTTGCAACAAAATTGCATCACGACTCCCAATGACCATGTATAACATTATAATTAGATGATTAATATAAGGTAATCTCATTGATAAAATAAATACAAAGCTCTGCAGACATTTACATTTAATATCTGGATTTAGTAGGGATATGATGTTGATATCCACTGCTACTAGAAAAATAGAGAAAATAGTCATTTTCTGGTCACCAATCCTAAAAAGGGTCAGTCTCAGTCTGATGAGTTATAAGTATCCCTTGCACCAACTGCCTACCCACCCTTCCCTGCATAATGGCCAACAAGCTCCTATTTTAATTGGGTTGGGGGAAGCTTTTTGCATATATATATATATATATATATATTTGGCCAATGTCCCTTTAGCTGTTGAAACAGGGCTACATAAGACACATATTTTTGGTTTCTCCTACTTATCCATTATTCATATATAAATTAAACAAACGTAATTCCAAACCATCCATTATTCACAAAATTGAAGAAGAGAAACCCTTTTTTGTTTCAATTAAATGACATTAAACAGAGCAGAATACCATCAGCAACAACACCAAACCCGCTACTCGATATTGAATACTCTACCTTTGTTGCCCTGCTTCCCAGCTTCTTCGGAGTTAACCCTATTTTGCTGTGTCTTGTTTATTTCATTGGATAAATTGCACATAATTCCCTACAACTGTCTACTAATTTTAAATAGTCCTAGTTAAAACCAGTTTATTAAACTAATTGTTGGATTTAATATTTTATCCATTTAGATTATGCATCTTAAATTTCCAACTAATACATATAAATATATGGAAGGACATTTGTGATTACCTAATCTGGCAGCCTATTTGACACCATTGTCCATTTACTACAAATGCCATTGCCAAACCAAAGTCGACCACACCACCCAAAAGAAAACTAAAATAAGACGGTGTGATGTAAAATTTGCATTTTTATATTTCAAAGCAACATATTGGATTCCAAATCCACCACTTTAGCTTTTGTCTGATTTGATAAGTGGGAAGAATAAAGAAAGGAACATAACAAAAGACAATATGTGAAGATGGTATCACCACCTTTCTCACAATTCCTACAAAAGCAAATGAAATTTGCCCTTCATTCTAATCCTCACTGTCCAAATCAATCCCTGTGGTTTTTAACAACCAAATAAAGCTTGCCATGATTCCTCCCTCGTTAAGAACCTCAACTTGTCACTGTCCATCTTCCCATTCTAACTGCATTTTCCCCATTTTCTGTGCTTATTTCTTTTTGTAAAATGGAGCTTAATTTGATTAGTGGGAAAAACTTATAGAAAGAAATGTATGGCAACTAAGGCACCGAAAGGTGAAGTGGGAGGGGCAAGCTCCCACTCAACTTTTTCTTCACTTTTCTATTATTTCAATAAAGGAAGAGGAGGTGAAAAAACCACATGAAAAGGGCAAAGAGAATTTCGCCATGCTTTTTTTCCTCTCTTACTCCCCTTTTGAACCTTATATGAGAATGAATGTCATCAATTCCAAATGATCTATCAACAACTAATTTGCAGACGAATCATAGCTCCCACCCAAAATCCATGTACCCAAAAGGGATTTAAAGACTGCAACACATGATGCTTTTGTTCATTCCTTCATCCCAAATATAATTTGTGAAATATATATATATATATATATATATATATATATATAACATGGTTTGTCTTGGTCAGTCCATGCATCAAGAATAATGCAACTGGCCTAGTTGATAGGTAAGGAAGGCTAAAGGTGGGCTACAAGTTTGTACGAGAGAGATTCTAAATTTTTAGCTGAATCCCTCCTCCCTCTCGTACCAAAATGAATAATACCTGCTGCACTACCCACTTTGATAGTGTAGTTTTCTTTGGTGGGAGACCAGAAAACACCTAGGCATCTCACCTGACACTCACGTGACCATGTATCAATTGGAGAATAATGTTCCTCTGCAATAAAGTTTTGATCAGCTTGGGAGAATACACATCCCCAAGCATTAAAAATGTAAACCTAGCATCAGATCTTCCCTGTTAAGATTTAAGAATCAATTATAAATAGCCTTTTCTACCACACAACTGGTATCTTTAATCCAAATCTCAAGATTTCCATGCCATTCCAATAACCCTCCACCAATACCAATGAGATAAGATTGAAAACGATTAGCATAATAGAGCACAAGACAGATAGAGACATTGATTAAGGAGAAATTATACTAGTAGCAGTAGTCGTATGTGACAATGAAGGTATTGGAATAGGAATAAGCAATAAACTATAGTTGAATGTTACATCATTATCATCATCATCATCATCATCAAAGGATCATAAATTTCTCCACCCTATTCTTCCACATTACAGGCACCAATAATTATTGATTCCAAACTACATTAGAAGATACAAATTTTCCACTACCGTATCTCCAAAAATTTTGACCAAACCCAGAAAAACCATCCAACTGTCTGAGATGAGAACTTCATGATCCTTCTTCATTTGGTTTCTCACAACGGTGATAATGAATATAACAGGCAAAGGATAAAAGTAAACATAGGATCTTGGTTTTCCATTGTCATCGAACAAAAGTCTCTCATCATAAAGAAAAAAGGGCAAAAAATAAAATGACAGCAATAGAAATCTAATTTTTGAAATATTGGAAGAAAAAAGACCTAGCCTGGGCATAATTTCTTTAAACATAACCCAGAGGTTATCTCAACCTTTTCTAACTGTTTTTGTTGTAATAATAAATGGTGAAAAATGAATTTCCCTTGTCAACTGACCTTCCCTCCTGCTTTCACCTTGCGTTACTGTTTACCTTCCTTCCACATTCATCACCAACAAAATCCCAAAAAATACAAATGTTATATACCAAAACCTTTTAGTTGTCTCTACCTCAGGGCTCAGTGCGACTGATTTCAGTTTTGCTGAGCCACAAGCTGATCAAGCTGCATTTGCTCTAGCCATGCTCCCAACACAGCATGATCAACAGGATCAATTTGAGTGTTCAAATTAGAACCCTCACTTGAAGAAACATTAGGTGCAACACCCGAGACAGGAGCTGCCATTTTGTCTTTGATCTCAGTGGGAGATTCTTTAACAAGAGATTGAACCCATGATAAATCAGGCTCTTCTCCATTGCCAAGCTCAAATGAAGATGACCTGCGAAGCTTGCCTAATTCATCTGCATTGACAGCCCAGTCTGGCTTCCCATTGGAGGACCCCCATTTTGACCAAGAATTTACTGGGGAACCTACAATGGCAGTAGAACCAGATCCCAGTTCCCGAGAGCTTAGGCTGCGAAATTGTTGCTGCTTCTCACGTTGAGCTAACATTGAAACCCGAGAACCCATTGGTGAGATCGGTTCTACATTTCGAGGAGACATCCTACCAGATAGAGAGGCCTGCAATAGAGGATGCTCAATATTTTTTGGAGAAAAATTTGTATTGATAGGTGATAACACACTTTGCTGCTGCTGAAATTGATTGAGAAGAGCAGACTTATGGGTGGGAGAGAATACTGCTGAAGCCAATGCTTGATCAGAGTACCGCGGAGATGAGCTCTCAGCAGAAAAGAGATCATCAAGATTTGATGGGGTCAGGGTCTTCAATCGACCAGATCGGTTCAAAGAATTAGAACTCATAGATGGCTGAGTGAGGCTAGATAACTCATTTATCAGCTGTTGTTGCTGCACATCAAAATCTGGCAGCAAGTTGAAGTCTTCAGTTGGAATGTCTCTTGCATTAAGAGAAGATCTCAGGCGACTTGATTGAAGATTGCTTCCTGGAAGATGCAAGGCTGGAACATTAGGTTGTGGCCAGCCAACATTAGAATGAGACATGCCATTTGCAGACGGAGACATGGGAGGTGTGAAAGGTGACGGAGACATAACAGATACAGATGAAGGTGATCCAGGCAAGAGACTCAAGGCGGTAGCAAAATCCATGGCTGTAGCACCAGAAGTACTGGAACGAGGAGATGGTACAGCAGAACCGGTAGAGACATACAGAGGCCGGAGTTCCTCAGCAGTATGAGCAAAGAAGCATACTCTCCTTGCACAATTAGTACCATCCTTACACAGCCGCGTTCGGTATTGAGCAGGGTGTAGCCAGCATTCAAAAACACCATGAGCATATTCACACATATCTCCACGCCTACATGCCCCCTTGCGGAAATCAGGGCAAGGAACACAACTGTAATGAAACTTTCTAGGATCCCTTCTTCTAGCATTTTCCCCTGGGTGAACAAATGGACACTCTGTCCAATCATGGGAGTAAGCACGTGAACAAGGCCGCACTTTGAATGAATACATCCGGAACTCATCAGTTGAATAGATGCTGTTTTTGATATCCGGAAGAGATGGATCAACTGGGTATTCTTTCTTCTCTGACGCGGAAGAAATAGGAGCATCAGTTGACTTTGACTTCATAGGGGAATCTGAACCAGATGTTGGTGACCCATTTTCCTGAGAAGGGGATAGAGGAGGGGAGCTGGAATTGGCAACAGCTGTTGACACCCTTAGATTGCGCTCAAGAACAGAACTCTCAGTAGCAAGGAGTTCTCCAAGAGTTGATTTTAAAGCTTGAAGCTTCGGAGGAACAACAACAACGTCAACAGGAAGATGACCATTTGCATCAACCATGTTTGCATCAGCACCAGCGGCCAAAAGCAGCTTCACAACATCAATAGCATTCACAGC